GAACCTTTCCCCTTCTCTGCCCCCCCCCATAGTGCACTGCTCTCTTCTGAGTAACAGGACAGAGCATGAGGGACCACATTTATTTTCCTAGCACAGTGTCCGATACAAACCCACCACACGATATTAATAACAGAGCTGGGCTTCAGACCCCTGAGGGAGACAGAAGAGAGGAGGCCACATGGACATGTAATGTCCATGCCGGGATGAATAGCTTTTATCCCAGAGTGATGGGCTCTATGGAAGGGTCAGAGTTCAGTCAGCAGGTAGATGGAGAAGGCCAGTGGCTAACACCTTCACAGTTGTTCAGTCAGCTCTAGAGCCTGAAAGGCAGGTGGACCCACCCTAAGACCTAGACGGGTACATTCAAAGCCTAGCACTGCTCTTCATTAGGGTCAGGCTTCAAGGGACAGGGCAGATGCTAGGTGCTGGGCTCACAAGAAACCCACCAGATCAGACCTCTGGGGAAGGGAAGACTGTTAAAACACACACACACACACACACACACACACACACACACACACACACACATAAGACACCACTGTTGAAAAGCCCTCAGGGAGGCCAGACACATATAGGTAGGAACCCAAGTTCTACAGAAGAGACAGTCCTTTGCCTAATGTCCCCCAGCTAGTTGGAGCAAAGTCTGGTACACCTGTCAGTTGGCACTCAGTTCTTGTGTCAGTCTGTCACTGAGTCCTACCTCACTGCCTCATATGTAGACCCAGACCCTGGGACCACGCTCCTCACCCTGAGCTTCAGCTCCCCCTTCCCTATGGTAAGCCTGATGCAGGGCAGGACTCATCCCCTTGCTCTATGCCATTCCTCATGGACCTCCCAAGACCCGTATTGTTGATCCTGTCATTAAGCAGAAGCCACCCCCACCATGCTGGGCCTGTGCTGATCTCTGGGCGTAAGGGCCACCCAGGTTCTTCCTGGATTCATATGGTGGATGAGAGGGCCACTAGACAAATAAAGCCACCTTTCTGGTTAGGCTTCAGAAAGCCTGGTACTCTGGGCTTCTGAGACCCAAGAACTTCATTGGGCCCAGCCAAATGGGCCATGCAGCTGAAGCCAGTAGATTCCATACATTAGGAAAGACATGAGAAAAGCCAGTCCTATACTGTCCTGTGACGTCTCCCTTGAGAAGCAGCTGACTCCTGAGTGGGTCAGTTCATCGCTGTGGCCTCTCCCTCATGGCCACAGTACTGTCTTCTTGACCCACATGTTGCCCTTTAGGCTGCGGTCTCCCTGAGACCAGGACTGTGGGTGCCAGACTCCATGTGCAGAGGATCTGAAACACCGTGCCAAAAGTTAGGGGTCACCATTACAGACCAGTCTACAAAGCCTTGGCACCTCTGCCCTTGTGTTTGGGCCATTCAAAACCCACATGGTAAATATTGTCATCTCTGTGTGCAGAGGACACAGACTCCATGTGCAAAGGAACTTCCCAAGCTTACACAGCCCATGGGCATGTGGAACCTGTTGGTCCCGTAGCTCAAGTTTGGTCCTCTGCACTGTAGATGAGACTGTCCTTCAAGAACCTCGCTGAATCCAGGGTGGTGCCCATAAGCAGAGCCTCCAGCAAGGGCCCTTTTCCCCTTCATCCCTCTATCAGAACCCTGGCCAGGCTGCCCACAGGGTGTTATGGGTCCCTCTTCATCACCTCCATGCCGAGTAAGCCCATGCAGGAACTCTGCCCAGCCAGCCCTGTGACCAGCTTCCTCCCCAGACCACCCAGCACTGTGACTAGAAGAAAGACCCATGACACCATGGGAAAAAAAACCTTCCCTGTCTCAGCCACCATCCTACATCCTCACTGAGCCCCAGCTCTGGCCTAGTCCAGCTCATCTTAACCTAATGTCTCATAGCCCTGTGAGCAGGCCAGCCCTCTAGGACTGTGTAACCTGGCCACACAGACCACTCGTCACAGACCACTAGCCCTGAAATGGGCTCATGACTGGTTTGGTGCCCTGCAGTCTCTGTCTAGAAATTCTGAATTATTTCTAAACAAAGGTTCCTTGTTATTTCTTGATGAGCTATGGGTGAGGTAGCCAATCTCGCCTGAACAAGTTCCTTCTCAGAGACTCATTTCTGCCTGTCAAAGTGGCCTTCAAGGGGCTGCTGGGAACACTGCTGAGGCTAGCACATGAAAGCTGTCTTGTCAGCCGAGCAGGGCTGTGCCTCTGGAGGGCGGTTCCCTTACAAGAGGGAAGGGAAAATCATTAGGAAGAGCCAGGAGCTCTCACTTAGAGCTAGGGTTCAGGAAGAGAGATGAGGTTCATAGGATCCCAAAAGATCTTCTGGCTCCAGCCCTTGCGAGGCGCTCTTCCCCTTTCACCCCAGCACCGTGGTTTTGGTAGCCAGACCCAGACTTTACCAGACCAACCTATACACAAGCCCCAGCTTAGGGCCTGGGATGAGACCCAGAAAAGGCCACCAGGGCGAGACAAAGAAGGACTCAAGCCCTGGGATGTCCTGCTGCAGAATAAAGAGAGGAATGTTCCCTGAACTTTTCTGAGACGGTAGTTAACCAAACGCCAGATCTAGATGGCCTCTCGTCTCGGGGGACAGAGAGGTGAGGCTTCTTGAGGCCCTCAGAGGCAGGAACTGAGCAGTGCTCCATGCTGATGGCCCCTCAGCCGTGCCCAGGAACTTCTGATTGGAAACTTCCAGAGACAAGGTAGCCAGACCCACCCACACCAGCCTGCCCCCCACCCCCGGACCTTGGTGGCACCACATGTATTGGGTTTCGTGGTGCCCCCACCCAGAACGACATGACAGAAATGCCTCCCCCTGTAATAGAGGAGGCTAGAGGCCCCACGGAGCCCAGAGTGGAAGCCAAGCCAAGCACCCAGGTGCTCCCTCTACTACCTCAGAGAAGCCCTCAGGGGGATGTCTTCCCAAAAGCACTTAAGCTCCCAGGTGGGGGACAGGCTGGGACTTGGTGAGGCAAGTGGAGTAGGACACTCCAGTGCCAGAAAGGACACAAGGAACTGGGTCTGACATCCAGCCTCGTGTGTGTGACTGCACTGGCCCCTGGAGCAGGTTTGGCAGAGACAGGTGTTAGGTGGGTCCTGGGTCCAGGGAGCTGTGGGGTTAGTCAGACCAAGCAGATCTCAGCCACCATTATCAGGCAAGTCTGCACAGCTGGGCACAGGCTCCCTATTGGGGAGACGAGGCCCAGGAGCTTGGAAGGCAGGGACATGTGACATGGAAGGCAGAGGAGAGCCTTGCCTCAGATGCCCAGAGTGATGAGGTGCCGTGAGGTAGGGCCAGCATCCAAGAACGACCATGGGGCCCTTCCCAGTCTGCAGATCAGCAATTGATTGGAGCAATGCACAGAAACAGAGCCTGACGAGGGAGGGAATGTCCTGTGGTGGAGATGCAAGAGTGGGTGGCCACTCTGCCAGAGCCCAGGTCCCTCTCAGCCTCAGTCTCCCCAACAGGCAGATGGGGGCAGTTGGTTCCTAAGGCCCCCCTCGGTTAATTCCAAGTCCCATTTAAGAGAAAGACCCATGAACTGTCAGATCTGGTTCCCAAGGCCATAGCCCCCAGTGCCTGCACCCCACCTCCACAACTAGAGAGAGGCCCAGGGGCCTGCCCAGCCCCAGTCCACAGTGCCTGTTCCCACCCCAGCTGTAATTACCCACACCTGGTGCAGGCAAGCTTTCTGCCCCTTTCCCGAGAGGGCTGTCCCACATGAAAGGCTGGCAGGCTCTCTGCTGGGGTAGGCGGCAGGATTCCCCCTCTGGTTTAACCCTGGGAAAGGAAACATTTGGTGAACGGCTCTTCAGGCCGGCACCTGGGCCCCATGGCTTTTAAGTGGGGAGTGTATTTGATCTTCACTTTGGCCCTGGGAGAGAAGCTTGTCTCCTCATTTTCCAGGTGTGGCTCTGCCTCCTGCCCCCACCCTACTGCCCCAGTGGATGTCCCTGTGAAGAGATGAGAGGGTACACACAGGCCATACACCAGTCAGAACTGGCCCACACTGGCACAGGGGCCCACCAGCTTAAGTGTGAGGAAGGTTGGCGTTCTCTGTGCCCAGATGTCAGGGCAGTGCATCAGGGAGGCAGCCTAGGCCCTGAAGGAAGAGCAGACTTGGGAGAGGAGACCAACTAAGTGAGAGAGTCTTTGAGAGAAGCACCCAGGGCCAGGCACCAAGTAAAACAAGGTATAGGCAGTGAGGGTAACTCAGGTTATAGATGATGGGCATCCAATGGCAAAGGGACAGAAGCCCACTTATGCAGACCCATTTCTACAAGAAGCAAGTCTCATGTGCTCAGGAGGTCTGGGAGAGCAGCTCCCTGTTGGTGAGCCACCACACCGTGGAGAGCCAGCTCTGCCAGCCCTGTGCAGTCCTGCAGAAGATCACTCTCGCCCCATGACGGATTCAGTGACCTCAGCCACTCCAGCCCCTTTGAATTTTTCAAAAGGAAAAAAATGCACTAGACAGGCTTCAAGTGGACAAAAACCAGACACGTTGGCGAAAGGTTCAGTGAGAGCAGATGTGGGGCTGAGAGTGATCAGCCTCCTTCAGGTGATGGATGGTGAACAGCCCTCAGGAACTCAGCCCAATGGCCAGACAGGAAAGCCATTTCACAGCAGAATGGGCTTAGGAGCCCCTACTGCCTCCTGGCCTCCACTGGTGCCTGATTCCAAGCAAGCAGAGGTTTAGGACCTGGTATGAGCGGTTAAGTACCTGCCAGGCTGGTCTCAGCACTGATCCCCATAGTGACCTGGCCCCTATAGGTGCCAACCTTTACCCTAGCACACCTCAGAGTTTGTAGACATTCCTTATCATGCCAAAGCCTCACCAGCACTTGCATGGGAACAGTGCCAGCCCACCTCACCCCCATTTTACAGATGGAGAAACTGAGCCCACAGCCAGAGTATCAGAGATAGAACTTGAACCCAGATCTCTGGTCTCATGGGTAGAGAGAAAGATGGCAGCTGGTGCCCAGGGAGACTGAGCTTCTCTGTCTCTCTTCACCCCTCACCAGAGACGTGTGCAGTGAACAACGGAGGCTGTGACCGGACATGCAAGGACACTGCCACTGGCGTAAGATGCAGCTGCCCAGTTGGATTCACACTGCAGTCGGATGGAAAGACGTGTAAAGGTCAGCAAGAGGCTGTGTTGGCACAGCCCTGCCCTCTTACAGATCCCTGCATGATGGCACGGCTGGGCTCAGCAATCTAGGCTGGAAGACAGACAAGCAAGGGCTATTAGAGAAAAGGTTAAGGAGAGTCCCCAGAAGGCTTCTGGTGAATGGGGCCCATGGCACACCTGTAAGGTCCTGGGTCAAGAAGGCTCTGATTCTGATGTTGGAATTTGCCTGTGGTTTAAACTAACAGGTGTCTTTACCACAGAACTTCCTAGGCCTTCAGCTCTGGGAGTGTGGGGTGAAGAATGATGTGTGGCCCAACCACCGGCCTTTAGTTGTAGGGAATACCATACAGCCAGTGGGGACGACCTCATGCAGGGCTGTTTGGGAAGAGCATGAGTCATGTATGTCACTGTCACAAATGTGTGAAGGGGCTTCAACTGAAGGAAGAACTAAATTAAGAGTCTAGAAGTGAGGAGGTGGCTGGAGGCAGAAAGAAAAGGCTCCCTACAGCTGCACAGGAGAGAAGGGCAGGGTGTAGCTTCCCACTGGTCTGACCGATCCACAGAGCTGCTGGGTGCCCTGAGGAGCAGGGTGACAGATGCTGGCTGAGCTCTGAGCCAGGGTGCTGAGAGAGGCCCAGTTACCCCTCAGTAGAGGCCATGAAGCCTGGTCCCCAGGAAAGGTGGGAAACTGGGTGTGAACGACAGAGCCCCCGGGCAGTTGGTGCCCCAGCACTGCAAGGGAACAGGAACAGGGACACACAAAACTCAATCCGTGGATACTAGAAATGGAGGTGAAGGGCATCTTAAAGCCAGGCGAATGTTCTGAAGGCTAGAAAAACAGACAACAGGTGACTTCTTATCAACTCAGAGGGAAGACAGTGACTAGTGGCAGAAATAATGGTTCTCATGGCTGGGAAGACAGCTCAGTTGGTAGAGTGCTGATCAGTACTCTGAACTGGACTGTCAACCAGACATTCAGTAGAACACCTGAATGGCTTTGGTCTCTAGCATCACATAAATCAGACAAGGTGGTGCACACTGTAACCTAGGGCTCCAGAGGTAGAGGCAGAGGGATCAGAAGTTCAAGGCCATCCTGGACTACGTAACTAGTTCTAGGTCAGGCTGGGCAATACGATACCCTGTCTTAATTAATAATAATAATAATAATAACAACAACAACAATAGCGACTTCTTCCACATGAATGACAAAGCCTGTTTGTTATAGCTACCATGTGGCATACTCATAGCTCAACCCATCCCTGGTGGGCACATGGACAGACAGACAGCACCTGGGTTGTTACCACGTGGGTGTGCCACTAGGAGTGACTGCAAGGAAGCCAGCAGTGTGCAGACCTGGGTGTCCTCATAGTCCACTGATGTCACAACAGGCCACCATCACATGAGATACCAGGCCAGCAGAGGGTAGAGCCAGGCCTTGCTGCAGCCTCCAAGGTGCAGGCTGACTGGAGGGCAGTGCAAGGTGTCATTCCTAAGATGAGATCAGGGTGGTCTGGAACACAGAAACAGCTGCCAGCCTCTGAGATCCACCTGATCTGGCTAGAAGGGGCCTGGGCAGTGTGTGGCCTGAGAGGAAGCAAATGAGTGGAGCTGCTGCCTCACTCAGTCCTTTAGCCCAAGCCATGCCCTGGCCTCCCCTCCATTTTGGGAGTGCCATAGGTGTGAAGGAGGCTGAGTCCCAGGCCCACTGCCCCAGCCCCCAATGACCTTCCCCATTTCCCACAGTTCTCCTGAAATAATTGGGCCCTTTAACCCAGCTACCCTTGCCCAGTCCTTCAGCCAAACCTCCTCCATGAGCACAAGCCGCTCCTTCCCTCCCCGCTCCTGACTTCTGGAGTGGGTCTGCACAGTCATTTAACTGAGAGGCTCCAGCTCCTGCTGGGTACAGGTGCTGGGAATTAGAGTGCATGGAGATGGCTTTGGTCAGTCCAGTCTCTGAGGTAAAGATGTCCACAGTGCGACTGTGTGTGATGACATCCGAGTAACAGAAGAGTGAGGAACAGCAGCCTGGCCTGCAGTTGGAAGATGGGGGCAGAGGCCTTCATTAGCGGTAGGAGGTCAGCTTTTCCAGTGACTGCCGGCTGAGGCCCAGTCAGGGTGAGGCAGGGCGGGCACAGACCCTGGTTGTCATTTTGAGGCAGTCCCTGCAGTCTCTGGGCAGAACCCTAGAGCAGTGAGACTGCCTCTGCCATGGCCAGGTTCACAGTGACACTGCTTAGGCAGACAACTGTGGCGGTGGAGAAAGCGGAGTGGAGATTCCTCTACAGACACTGGAGTTGAAGGGCTGAGGACTCGTGTATAACCGCCTGGTGTGGCCATCATGATATCTTCAAGTTCAAGAAGTCAGGTGGTTGCCACAGATCCCAGAGCTGGTGTCTATGAGTTGCTTGACAGTTGGCTAGAAACAGAGGCACCAGCAGGGCTGAGGGATCTGGCCAGAGCAAGCCAGCAGGGGATTCCTAGTGAACCCGAGGCTCTACCCTAAGGTTCCAGCTTGCCTGTCAGGTGTACACTCTGATCTTGGCAAGAGTCTAGAGGACAATATCAAAGAGATGACTTCAAAGGTTCAGGGTTTTCTGAAAGCCCAAAAGTCAGGTGGCTGGTGGGGGTGGTGACAGAGGGCTGAGAAACCCAGTGCAGAAAGTCCCAGGCCAGAAGGGGGTGGGGAAGTGGGCCATTTGCCCAAGCATGAGGGCCTGGGGGTTTGTCCCCAGATCTGACTTTGCTCAAGTGGACAGCGTGGGCCCACCGCAGTCTCTAGCTTCCTGTGTGGTGCTGCACCACTTGCTATCAGGTAGTGGGCATCTTGCTCCTCCCAAAGGAAGAGGTGGGAGCCTGGATTGCTTCTGGGGCTAGAGCCTGTCCTCCCACCATCTCCCAGAGCAGCCTGGGAGAACCCCCACCCACCACCTGCTCTTTCTTTCTCCTCCACCTTGCCCTGGGCCAGGCAGGCCACCTGCCAGGATGTTCACCTGAGTGGGAATGGTTTCCTCATCTGCTTCCCCTGGCCAGCCCAGCCCAGCACTTAGCCTCCCCAACCCCAAGACCCTCAGTCATAGACCCCACAGGTGGCCAGGCTGTGCCCAGTGGAACGGCAGAAGGGAGCAAGGTATTCTGGGCTCACCCCATCAGGGCACCCCCATACACACAAACCTGGGCCCAATGCACCACTCCTGGACCCTCCTTAGCCTGACTAAGCTCCTCCCCACTGACTGGGGTCCCTCACTTGCCATTTGTTCCTTCATCTCTTAACTCTCTGAACATCTCAGGGAAGGCCCTGGGCCCTGGGTGTCACCTCTGCTGTCCTCGGGTGCTCTCACGTCCCTGAAGACGGCCTATGATAAGAAAGTGGGGCCAGGCAGTTTCTTGAGGACTGAGGTGTGACCCAAGCCCTGCAGAAGGTCAGCAGGAAGAGGTGGACAGCTGGGTCCAAGTGTACAGCCAGATGTAGCTGTAAAGGGAAGAGCTGTGAGCCTCCACCCAGGGTCGGCCTTTATCCTGGGATACCGGAGGCCTCAGCAGACTTAGTGGGGAAAGGACATGGCCAGATTCGCTGTGGGAGGAGGTATTAGCTGTCTGGTGGGGAGTAGATGGGACACAGTGGAGGAGGGGAAGCAGGAGAGGGACAGAAGTTACATCCTGAGGATTCATCAAAGGTTGAGGGCCATGTGAGTCCAGCACTCCTGTACCACATCCTGGGTTGGAGGGAGGAATGACTTCTCTGCTACCCACAAGTAGCCAGCTGCACCAGCCTGAGCTCGTTCTCCTCCTGTCCCTGTAGTAGCCACTTTGCTATGGGCTCAGATGGGGAAGGGACAAATAGGGGGGCTCCAAGACCCAGCCCATTCCTAGGATCAGGGGAAGAAGGCAAGGCAGGAGTCTAACCATGGCCAGCCCTTGGAGCTCAGGAGAGCAGGCCACGGAGATGAAGAGAGAGACTGGCAGGCTTTGCTCATGAGGAGCGTCATATATGACATGGGGTGGGGGGTTGGGGGGGTCAGTGACCTCTGGAATGTAGCCATCACTCATTAATTGCTGAATGGAGGAACAGCTCACACATGTGGGGAAGTGGGGTGGAGCCACTGGGCCCAAGTAACAGCCTGGACCTCAGTCACCTGTGGAAGCTTCATAGACCAGCATTCAAACATGCAGTGACCCTGCTTCTCAAGTGCTAAGTACCAGCACCTTGGGGATATTACCTCCTGTCATCACAATGTCCTACACTATGGGGACCTTACTTATCCTCATCCTTGGAGGGGCAAGGAGCATAGATCCCTGCATGTCACCTGGGCATGTCGCCTGAGGCGGCCTCTGCTGCACCCTCACCCGCTCCAAGATGCTTCACCCAGATATGCAGGTAAAAGGACCTGGGGACATCATTGTCCTTGTTGATTCCCGAGACAGGGTACCAGGCTTACCAATCACAGAAGAAATGGGGGAACATGGGGATCCGGGGCTAAGTTGTACGCCCAGGTCCACCCCCTCCAAGACCTGTGATCAGCTGGGGACCTGAGACCAACAACCCCAGGCAGTCAGTGGCTGACAAGCAAGTCAGAGCCAAGAAGACAGGTTGACACTGTCCCCCAAGGCCGTCTCCACCACCTGAGCTGCCTCCCCTACCCTCCCCTTTCAGACATCAACGAGTGCTTGATGAACAACGGAGGCTGTGACCACTTCTGTCGGAACACAGTGGGTAGTTTTGAGTGTGGCTGCCGCAAAGGCCACAAACTGCTGACGGATGAGCGGACCTGCCAAGGTGAGTGTCCTCCGAGCCCAGGAACCCCTGACTAACCCACCGTCACAGCTGGTCCTGAGGGCTAGTGCCCCTCCTCTTTTGGACTCCTGCAGGCTCCCAGGAGAGGAAAGAACTCAAATTGGGTAGTCCAGAACACCGAGTTCTCCCGGCCAGGGCACCTGTTCTTGCCCACTTCTCCACCCAATCCAACCCTATCCCCTGTCCTCTGTACCTTTAATTGATGGAAAATGAGCTGGGCATGGTTGTGCATGCCTCTGGTCTCAGCTACTTGGGAGGCGGAGGCAGAACTGTGAGTTTGAGCCTAGCCTGGGCTACATAGTAAGACCTCATCTAGTATATAGGAAAGGCTCAGAGAAAGATCCACCCTCCCTCCCCTCCTGCATCCACCAGTGTGCAGCCAGCCCAGCTTCGGAGGCATAATGCTGCCTCCTGGTGGAGAACATCCCACACCACAGAGGCTCCAACAGTGTCCAGGCCTCTGCACAGCAGAGTCCAGGGCAAGTCCAGCAGCCCCCAGTATGCAGTGGGAGCCCAGAGAAGACAGGGGGATTGGAGAGGGCCGGAGAGCTTCCCAGGGAGGCCACCATGACATGCTGGACCTGACGTCAGTTGCCAAGAGGGCAGAAAGCAGGAAATCAGTCCATCAGGAAATCAGTCCGTTAGGAAATCTCAGTCCATTAAGAAATCTCAGTCCATTAGGAAATCAGTCCATTAGGAAGGGAAGTTTGGGAAGCAATGGGACCTCAGGGGGCTGGACAGCACCAGTGGGCAGGAGACAGGTGCCCTGTGGGACCAGCTTGGGGAGGAGACACAAAGGAAGAGCTGCAGATGGGCCTCAGAGCTGATTATCCTACCGGGGTCTGGCTGTTTTGTTCCCATGAGTCACCACAGTTGCAGAGCAGACAGCTCTTTGGTTATAGGACCGGCAGCCTCTGCCTGTGAGTAGTTCAGTGCCTGAGTAGTGAGGCCTCAAGGTGCCAGGTCCTAGTAAGAGGAGACTACCAAGGGGACCCCAGGGTCAGCCTGGCTTCTGACTCACCATGTCTGTCAGGGTCAGCCACTCCCTCCCCCAGGCCAGGCCTTACTCCCCTGGATGAATGTCCTGGCTCATCTTCCTCTTGAGAGCCCAGGACAGCTGGTCAGGCCCCACAGGGTTCCTCCACACACTGGCTTTGTTTCATCATCACCATGTCTGTCAGGGTCAGCCACTCCCTCCCCAGGCCAGGCCTTACTCCCCTGGATGAATGTCCTGGCTCATCTTCCTCTTGAGAGCCCAGGACAGCTGGTCAGGCCCCACAGGGTTCCTCCACACACTGGCTTTGTTTCATCATCAGCTTGCCAAGTTCCGTGGAGGACTGAGGGCCCTTGATCTTGAATCTTCAACTGCCCCTGAGAGAGCAGCAAGGTGCTGGGCACACCTAGGCTCTGCACCAAGGCCTCCCCTGCCTTGCTCCGTACCCAGCCCCATCTGCATCTCCACCCTTTTCCAGCTCATCTCTCTGAGTCTATGGTCTCCCCAGGTCCAGCAGAGAGGGGTCCAAGCTCCTTAAGGACCCCAGTACCTTCCCAGTGCCCATTGATCCTCATACAGTCCCTTGGCCTCCCAGCCTTTGCCTGGACACACTTCCTCCATTCCAAGCAGGACCCATCCATAGCCCCAGGAAGTCTTCCCAGACCCCTGGAAGGGATCACACCCTCCTCTGAGTGCCTACAGCATGACTCCTTCCTTGTATGAGGGTTCTATAAGCATGCCCATATTAAGAATATATGTGGAGTTACATGGACAAAATTCTGTTGTATTCAAAGAATGAACTCAGCTGCCATGCTATGGAGGGGCAGGTCAGTATCTACTTTGTGTCAGCTGGTCCTTTAAGAGCTATTTCCCTCAGAGTTTATGTCCAGGACAGACTGTGTCCTGGGTGCGTGTGGTTCATGTCTTCCTTTTCAGTAACAAGCAATCCCTGACTCTCCACCTTTCTCTTTTCACTTTGGCTGCCAGGAAGTTTGTAATTAAGCGTTATATGCTACCAGAGCTCCTTTTAAAAGTTTTATGGGTAGTGAGTTCCCCTCTCTTATTTGTGCCATTTTCCTTAACTTCTCCAAAAACATAGGAACACACATGTTGGTCAACATCCAACAGGCCTGAGTTCATGTTCCATTTCACTGCCTCTCAGAGTTTTTCAAGCAAGCCCCAGTCATTTTTCCTCTTGGGGTGTATATTAAATTCCTCTCCTATGGGACCTCAGACCTATAATCCAGGGCTCAAGAGGGAGAGGCAGGAGAATCAGGAGTCCAAAGCCAGCCTGGGCTATATAGTAAGATCCAGTCTCAAAAGTAAAACAAAATCAAAGGGTGGGAAGATGGCTCAGTGTAAAGTGATTGCTTACAAGCATGAGGACTTGAGTTCCTATCCCCAGCACCCACAGACACGGATGTAACCTCAGAGTCCGGGGCAGGTGAAGACAGGAAGATCGCTAGGACTTGCTAGCCAGCCAGTCTAGCCGACAGCTTCTGGTGCAGTGAGAGAGCCTGTCTAAACAAATAAATACGGTAGAGAGCAATTGAGGAAGACACCAAACATTGACCTCTGACCTCCACATGCCTGTGTACACACAGGTAAGTGCAGTGCACGCGCAGACACAAAATAAACACACAAAATAAACAAAGCAAACACAAATCTTTCCTATGCAGGTAGGTGAAATATTGACAAGCAGAGGTTCATAATAATCTTACTCGATGTTCCTTCCCCACTCACCTCCAGATGTGAGGGGGCTTCTACCCAGAAATGGGGCTGTCGGAGACAGCATAGGAACCTGAGCAACAAGAGGCCTAACGGAGGCTGCAGGAGCTGCGCTGAGCCTCAGGACCCGGGGACTGTCCAGGCTGGGTGTTCATTGAGTGACACACCTGCCCAGACGCCCTGTGCTGACTCCCTCATGCTGTCTCCCCACAGACATCGATGAGTGCTCCTTCGAGCGGACCTGTGACCACATCTGCATCAATTCCCCGGGTGGCTTCCAGTGCTTGTGTCACCGCGGCTACACACTCTACGGGACAACCCACTGCGGAGGTCTGCAGCCCGCCCACCAGGGCCACCTCCCCCTCGAGGCACGCGTCTGGCCATGTGGCCACCGACTCTGCTCCCCACACCCAACCCTGCCCCGGGAAGGACTTTGCAAAACTGGAACTTCAGGGCGGAGGGGCTGGGCCAAGGGCAAGGGAGAGAAGGATGGGGGCAGGGTGCCAGGCCTTGGCCAACTTGGGGACATAAGCTAAGAATCTTATTTCCTGGAGCACTCCAGTCCAGAAAGGGGTGACTGATACACAGAAAATTCCAGAAAGTTCATTCCAGAGAAAGGCAAGATAGTGAGAATCCAAAGGAGGATTATTTGGGTCAGGATGGGGAAGTGTTCTAGGAGAAGCATGTGCAAAGGCACAGAGGCAGGGGGTACAGAAGGGGTGAGCCACAAGCAGGGGGCACAGGGCGATGTCCCCAGGGGAAGCACACCCTGGTGATTGATGCGGGGTTGCATGAGCCCAGGAAGATGAAGATCTTATTCACGGGGCCATGAAAAAAAGCAGGATGGCTTCAAGCAGGGTCCAGTATGGTCAAAGGACTCTGGTTGCAGGGTGGGGGTGGTGCAGGTGGAGAAAGTCAGAGCAGCATGGAACCCAGGTAACCTGTAGGGGAGTGGCCCGTGGCTTGAGTGCTTGAGCTAGGTCCGGGAGTCAGGGCTAGAGAGAAGGTTCTAAATGACTCCACAGGCTGGGGGTGTAGCCGGGTGGTGGAGCGCTTGCTTAGGGCTGGGTTCCAGCCCTGTTTCCCATCCCCAGCACCACCACAAACAGGAGCCAAAGGGCTCTGGATGTGATTGGTGAAGATGGGAGCCCAGGAGGGGCGGCCGTGGTCTCTTCTTCTATGACTGGGGGGCAGTGGTGGAGGCAGGGAACAGGGATGCTGAGCAGCTACTAGATGGTGGCTTCGGGTCTCATAGAGTGACTCTCGAACACCGAGTGCCACCTCCCTGGCCCGCAGGTCACTGGGTGACACAGAGCTGGAAGGGTTGTCCTTGCTAATCCTGCTTCAGAGGGGGCTTTTGGTTAGAGGAAGAAGAGCCTCTGGTGACTCCTTTCGTCCTAGTGCCTACGGTACACGAAGGGAGACCAAGGCTGGGAAGGATCTGGTACAGCTGCAAGCAGACAAGGCTCATGACTCCTCAGCCCTCTCCAGGCTGATCTGGGGTCAGGAGCGTCCTGGCCTCTGGTCCTGGGTGCCCCCTGCCTTCCTGGCACCATGGGTTTGGCCCGGGCTGGTGGGCCCGCCCCCTCCTGCCCTCACCCTTGTGCCTGTGTTTCCAGACGTGGATGAGTGCAGCATCAACAACGGCAGCTGCGAGCGAGGTTGTATCAACACCAAGGGCAGCTATGAGTGCATCTGCCCACCAGGGAGGCAGCTGCACTGGAACCGGAAGGACTGCGTGGGTAAGTGGGGCTGGGCTGGGAAGGAAGGCCTGCCCTGCTAGCTTTGTCCCTTCCACTGGTAGGTAGGGGACATGCAAGGGACAGTGACTTCAGAGGGGAGGTGGCTCTTTGGGTCCTGGGTTACTGGACCAGGGATTCTTGTCCCTGGGATCGGCTAATGGCAACCAGTGCTTGGGGACGAGGGGACACCAGAAGTCAGTCAACCCTAGTATCAGTCAGGGACACAGGGATAGGGCCCTGTGAGGTAGAGAGATGAGCCACAGAATGGGAGATCTGGAAGTCTGTAGACCAAGGCTGTGGGCCCAGGACCCTACTGATATCTCAGGCTAGAAGCTGGGGGAGGTGAGTTGAGGGCCCACCTCCCCCAGCTCCCCCAGCATGGTTGGGGAGCTATGGTGGCAGCATCAGGTCCAAAACTGCCCCCCGCACCTGTTGCCAGCCCCACAAGGGGCCAGTACTGCCTCTAGACAGCTCATGTTTCCCACAAGGCCTGCTCACCTCTAGCTAAGTTCTGACAGTGTTAGTAGGTTCTTCAATGAGCTGAGCACCTGCCCCCCAACCCCCAGAGGGCCCAGTTCTGGGGGTGGAGCCATGTGCTGCCATCCTCCAACTCACTCTCCAGGTTGCTGCCCTGCCTTGCTCTAATGTCACAGCAACCAAAGTGAGCCTTATAAATCCAAGGCAGATGCTAGGCATGGTGGCGCAGGCCTGTGATCCCAGCTACTCAGGAGGCTGAGGCAGGAGGATCAAAAGTTCACTGCCTACCTGGGCTACAGAGTGAATTCAATGAGTTCAAAGCTACTCAGTGAGACCTTATCTCAGACTAGAAAACAACATGGGGGGGCTATACCTCAGTGGTAGAGCATTTGCCTAGAATGCTCGAGGCCCTGGGTTCAAGCCAAGATACCTTCTCTGCCAGTAATGCCTCATTCACTTGAGAATCAAAACCAAGGTGTTCCCTCACCCCCCCCCCTTTTTTTTTTGAGACAAGGTCTCACTCACTACGCAGCCATCGCTGGCCTGGAACTCACTATGCAGACCAGGCTGACCTGGAACTCACAGAGATCTGCCTGCCTCTAGCTACTGAGTGCTGGGATTACAGAAGTGTGCCCAGCGGGGTCAAGTCCTTAGAACAGCCAGCAGATCTTCCACCCTCCCCAAATTTACTCCATGCCAGCTCACCCGGCTCCCACCCCTCCACGCCCACCGCTGAGCCCAAGGGTGCTGGCTTTCTCTTGGCCCCTTTGCTCTCCAAGTGCTGCAGCATCTGCACAGTGAAGCCTCAGTCTTGTCCAGTCTTCACTGTGGCACTGCCTCTGCGTGCAGCACTCTTGGTGGGGGTCTGACTGCTGGTCATATGTTGGTGAGTGTCATGTTATACCACTTTCATCTTTAAGTCACCTGATGAATTGAATGTTCTAGGCACTGGACATGGGCTGACTGAGACAAATGAGTATAACGAAAGGCATTAGCAGAAGGTTCTGGAAGGCTCTGGGACCATGAGCTAAGGTCTCCTAGGCCTGACCAAGAGACAAGTCTAAGTCTCAGTAAGTCTACCATAGGTATCTGGGTTGCTTTCCCTCGGCCTCTGTGATTGGCTCCTCTCACTCTTCTGTGAGTCCAAGTCCAGCATGAGCCACATGTTAGAGGTAGCCAGACCCACAGATGGCCACGGAAATTCCCAAGTTACTCTATCAACGACAGCTGTGGCAACAAGTCAGCATTTGGAGGTCCTCCCTGCCACCCCACCCTACCATGGCACAGGCTACTGTGTTCACAACATTGCCCAAAGGGAGGGGCTCTTTGTTTATTAGTTTTGCAATGCTGAGGCTGGAACCCAGGGCTTTCTGCATGCTGGAGTTACAGGTCAGTCCACAAGGTAGCCTCCACCTCTGTATGACTGCAGCTGGCCTTGAACTCCTGGTCCTCTTTCCCAATGCCTCCAACTCCCAAGTGCTAGGATTATGCACCCAATGCCAGAGGAAACTTGGTGAGCACTGTGAGTTGCCCAGCTCCCATAAATGGCCTTTCTGTCCCTATGGTCTGTTTCACCCATTATTATACTCCTCAGAGAGACATTGTCCCTTGATTCCCAAGTGAAAGCACCGGCCCCTGAGAGCACGGCCTGGAGGGTCCTGCGCTTGGAAGGTTCTCACAGCCCCCGCCCCCAAGATACCCTGGGCCCTAGTGCAGCTTTTCCTGTAAGAGATGTGACCTCAGTGGAGCAGCAGGTGCCTGGCAGGGGATGGGTGTAACACACTCACAGGTGCCCTCAGGGATCACCAAGGCCGCCTTTCCTAGCGCCAGGGCCTTTCTTTCTTTTATCATAAAGAGCATGTTAAGGAAAAAGTCTTGTGAAACACTCTACCACTTTTCAAATTGGCTACACTAACAATAGAATTGGGCTCTCAGCTATCCCAGCAAAGGCTAGGTGTGGGTGAGATGCCATTCGTAAGGGAAAGATGACATAGGCTCAGTCGGAGGGGTTTAACCTTAAATCCATATGGTAGGAACCCTAAAAGAACGCGAAGGACAGCCAGGGGTGGCAGTGTACACCTGTCACCTCAGCATTTGGAAGGTAGAAGCAGGAGGGTCAGAAGTTCAAGGTTATCTTCAGCTACATGACAACTTTGAGGACAAACTAGGGTACACGAGACCTTGTCTTGAAAGAGAAAGAGACAGACGGACAGACGTGGTGGTGGTGCTCGCCTTTAATTCCAGCACTTGGGAGGTTGAGGCAGACAGATCTCTGTGACTTTAAGACCAAACTGGTCTATATAGGGAGTTCCAGGACAACCTTAGGGCTACTTAGTGAGACCCTGTCTCAAAAAAACAACAAAGGGACTGGAGAGGTGGCTCCATGGTTAAGAGCACTGGCTGCTGTTACAGAGGACCCGGGTTCGATTCTCAGCACCCACATGGCAAAGAGCTACCATCTGTAATTCCAGTTCCAGGAGAATCTGACGCCCTCTTCTGACCTCTGTGGGCATTGCACAAAATGGGTGCCCTTGCATACATGTAGGCACTACTCTTAGAAAATAATAATTTTTTTAAACAAAGACTACAGACTACACACTTGAAGGAGCATGTGTCTCTCAGCAGTTCCTGACTCTTAAGAAGGTCCCCCCTCCCGTGGTCTTGGGATAACTGTCTATGTGATGTCAGCTGTCTGCCCTGAATCCTGAGTAACAGGACTCTGTGCTCTGTGCTCTGGAGAGCCTCAGTTAACACTTCTCCATGGTGACTTTACATTCTGGAAAATTCGTTTCTAGTCTTCCAAGACGGCAATGTAGTGAAGGTAGAGACACTTCTAAGTACTTCATGATGAACTCTCTCAAGAAAATGAGTATTACTAAATGAGTGTGTGGAATGTCCCAAGGGAACACAGACTATAATACCCCAGTCCTGTGAGTGCTGTGATCTCTGTCAGCACGGAACTGCTTCAGTTCATCCAGAGAAAAAGAAACCCTAGTGTATGTATTTATACCCTTCGAGGACCCCAGGGGTAGCCTAGCACTCGGTGCCAGCAGCCTGTTGAGCATGGAGACCTGAAAAACCATTTCCTGTGACCCCTGGCTCCTATGTTGAGGGTCTCCGGGTTCAGCTATGGGCAGAAAAGCACTTGTTTTTTTAGCATTCCAAAGCTGCATGCGACTCCAAAGCTTTGTGACTCTCTGTAAACATTTACCCTTTTGTTTTTAACGGCAGAACATGCCCTAGACTTCACCCAGCTGGGTTCTTGCACGTTCAGGCTGATGCCTTCTCTCTTGGGTTTGTTTTTTGTTTCTGTTACAACTGTATTAAGACACAGCTCGTGTCATGCATGGAATTCATCTGTGCTATTCAGCATACACAGCAGCAGGGTTTCAGTACTTTTACTGAACTCTGTGAAGCACCACAAATTCCGGGTGTGTGTGTGTGTGTGTGTGTGTGTGTGTGTGTGTGTGAGACCAAGTTCACATGGGGGCTGGAGGTCAGCATCTGGTGTCTTCCTCAATCGCTCTCCATGTTACTTTCTGAGACAAGGTCTCTCTCTAAACCTGGAGCTTGACAGGCTGACCAGTAGCCCCAGGGATCGTCCTTCACAGCACTGGGATAACCACCATGCTCAGCTTTTCGCATCAGTGCTGGGGATTACACTTGGGCCCTCATGCTTGCAGAGCAAGCACTTTACCAACTAAGCCATCCCCTCAGCCCTCGTGCACCTTTTTAAATTGAGTTTTTCTTTATTACTCCATTTTAAGATTCCCTTATACAACCTGTGTGTTCGCCAGCTTTGTGTGGCTGTGACAAAATACATGAGATAAACAACTTAAGGAAGAAAGATTTATTTTGGCTCATGGTTCTGGAAGTTTCTTTCGGTGGTCAGTTGGCTCCATTGTTTCCTGGCCTGTGATGAGGCACAATATCGTGGCCGGAAAGCAAATCCCCTAGTGGTTGTAATGACAGAACACAGCACCTATGGGGAACTAAAAGCTGAGGGGGTTGTCAGGGCAGCTGCTCCTCTGTCCTCTGTCCTCCAGGGCCTTCCCTCACAGTACAGAACCCAACACCCTCTGTTCTCAGGGAAGCCACGGCCCACGGACCATTTTGTTTATTTGGATTCTTCACTGGATTTATTTCTCTATTTGATGTTTTCATCTGGAGCACCATAAGGATTTTGGTTTGTTTCTAGATTATTTACTTTCTCAGACACCTTGAAAATGCTTTAAACTGCCAACATCCCACACCAACTTATCCTTCCACCTGAGTCCCCCATACCTCCACGAGCCCATCTGCAAGAAGACAGGACAAAGACTCCCTTATTCTGGGCCTGGCTGCGCTCACACATAACCCAAGGGGAAACTCCTCGTGGCATGTGCACTGGTTCATGTTTTCACTGTTCTCTTAGGGCTATTTTTTACAACTAGACTCAGCTGTGTGTTAAGTCTTCTCCTGCTCCGAGTCACCTGCCGCCTTCTCCCCATCCAAGATCCTAAGTTAGTTTAATTCACAGCACAGATCTGACCATGCAGGTTGACAATTATCCAACGAAATCCTGTGCGAAAAGTCCGAAGCAAATATTAGTCCACCTCCTGTAGCTTGGGAAATTTTTAAAGATTTTTATTATTGTTTTTATTTGTGTGTGTGTACATGTGTGTGTATGCATAAATGTATGCCATACATGTGCATGCCTGCGGAGGTCAGAGACATCAGACCCCTAGAGCTGAAGTTTTAGGCAGTTGTGAGCCATCTCACTTGGGTGCTGAGGGCTGAACTCAGGTCCTCTGAAAGAACAGCAAGTGCTCTGAGCCACTGAGGCACCAGCTTAGAAAATTTTAATGCAGCCCTTTCATTGTGCTCGGTGAACTCTAGGCCAGGCTTTAAATTCAACAAATCTGTTTTCTGGACAAAGGATATTCTTTCTTTCTTCTTTCTTTCTTTCTTTCTTTCTTTCTTTCTTTCCCTTCTTATTGTATGTATGTATGCATATGTGTGATATTCTTGTGTATGTGGAGTGTGTGTGTGCGCGCCAAGGTCAACCTTGGGAGTTGTCCCTCGGTATCTATCCACCTTGTTTTTTGGTCTTTTTAAATATTTTTTATTTTATGTGTATGAGTGTATTGCCTGCATGTATATAAGTGCACCCATGTCATGCAATGCCCATGGAGGTCAGAAGAGGGCATCAGATCCCCTGGAACTAGAGTATGGACAGTTGTTAGCCGCCATGTGGGTGCTGGGAATTGAACCCAGGTCCTCTGCAAGAGCAGCCAGTGCTCTTAACTGCTGAGCCGTGTCTCCAGCCCCCACCTTGTTTTCTTAGATAGAACTTCTCACTGGGACCTGAAACTCACTGAGTAGGTTAGGCTAACTGGTCAGTGAGTCTCAGGGATTCACCTGCCCAACCCCCAGTACTGGGATTTATGAGTATGTGGCACCATGCCTGTTTTCTTTTACATGAGTTCTGAGGATCAAACTCAGGTCCTCAAGCTTGTGAGACAAGCACTTTACCAACTGAGCTATTTCTCAGCCTTAGGCAAAAGGTTTTAATGGAATACCATGCAATGAAGTTTCTCCTTTGCTGAACTCAACTCCAAGGAAAGAAGGGACTTATTAAAGAAGCCTGAAGGGCTGGAGAGCTGGCTCAGCTGTTAAGAGCACTGGCTGCTCTTGCAGAGGACCCAGGTTTGGCTCCCAGCACCTACATAGCGGCTCTCAACTATCTGTGACTCCAGTTCCAGGGGATCCAATGCCCTCTTCTGGCCTCTGAAGGCACCAGACGTACATGTGGTGCACATACATACAGGCAGGCAAATATTCATACATATAAAAGTAAATCTTTTTTTAAAAAAGGGTCGCTGTGGGATGTAGCTTAGTGGTACAATGTTTAACTACTATACTGAGGTCCTAGGTTCAGTTCCCAGCTCCATAAAAAAATCAGATGCAGGAACAGGAAGAACAGAATGGTTGTGAGGGGCTAGAGAGACAAGGCAGGGGAAGAGAGCTACAAGATCGACTCAGATACCAAAGGAGGCGCTGGCCAGCCGATGTGATACCACAAGTTGAACTGATGGCCTCTGCAAGGGAAAACAGTGTTTTGAGCCTGATCACTGAGCAAAGTCCCTTGCATGATCCCTAGAGGGAGTTCATAGTGAGTTTGCTTCAGGTGGTGTTGGTTTTAGACTGGAGAGAATGGAAGTGTGCTTGTGCTGGCCACAGAGGGCTAAACAGAGCCTCACAATCTGGTCACTAGAGTGGCTCCACCAGGGAACTGGCTCAGAGTATATGGCACTCTAAGGTGCTGGTTTTCAAAGGCAGTTGTTACTTACAACTCAGATACCTATCAAGTGAGTTCTGATGTTCCTGTGTGTGTGCGTGTGTGTGTGTGTGTGTATGTGTGTGTGTATGGGTATGTACACGCTGGGGCATATATGTACACCTGTGTACATGTGGGTATTGAGGATAGAAGTCTACATTTGGGTGTCTTATTAGCTCTCCATCTTATTTTTAATTTTTTTAATTATTTTATCTTATGTGTATGAGTGTTTTGCCTAAATGTAGAGATATGCACCATTTGAGTGCAATGCCCACAAAGGCCAGAAGAGGGCATCATATACCCTGGAACTGAAGTTACACATGGTTGTTATCTGCCATGTAGGTGCTAGGAACAAAACCTGGGTCCTCAGCAAGAGCAGCCAGTGCTCTTAACTGCTGAGCCATCTCCACCTTATTTTGATTCATTTTTTTAATTATTTATTATGTTTATTTTATGTGTATGCGTGTATTGCCTGCATGTTTGTGAGTGCACCCGTGTTGTTTTTGTAGCAAGGTCTTTCACTGAACTGGAGCTAATTGATTCAACTAGGCTGATTGGCCAATGAGCTCTAGGGACCCACCTGTCTCCACCCCCTTCTCCCCTAGCCCCAGTGCCGGGGTAACAGACATGTAATACCACACGTGGCTTTTATATGGTGCTGAGGTTCCGAACTTAGATTCTCAGACTTACACAGCAGGTGCTTTGCCACCTGAGCCATCACCCCAAAGAAGTTCTGAGGAGCTGTGGGACATCTTCAGAGGCCTCCTGGATGTGTGGGAGGACTGCCCCACCCTGTGCCCCATGGTGCTGAGGTTCCGAACTTAGATTCTCAGACTTATGCAGCAGGTGCTTTGCCACCTGAGCCATCACCCCAGAGAAGTTCTGAGGAGCTGTGGCACATCTTCAGAGGCCTCCTGGATGTGTGGGAGGACTGCCCCACCCTGTGCCCCGAGGTTGGTCCCTGCCAGGAAGTCCAAGCTCATTTGCAGCTACCCCTGTCTCCATGTGGGCCTGGCCCTGCCTCAGGAGCTTCTAGATCTGAGCACAGAACTGACCTTTTCTCAGACAGCCAAGACCAGGATCTGAGGGGACCAGAACAAAGCAGCTGTCAGGCTCAGCGTCCCACATGGCCAGATGGACCAGGGTCCTCCTTGTCCTCAGGCAACTTCCTCTTAACTCTGGCCTGTTAAGGGGGTTGAGAGACAACTGACCCACACTTAGGGCCCCCACCAACACCAAGAAGTCCTTACCCTGGCCTCGCTCAGACATATCTGTGTCTCCCTTTCTCCTCAGAGATGAACAGGTGTCTTTCTCGGGCTCAGGCCTCTGCCCAGGCCCAGCTGTCCTGCAGCAAGGTGGGTGGAGTGGAGAGCTGCTTCCTGTCCTGCCTGGGTCACAGTCTCTTCATGCCAGGTAACCCCTGGCCCTCTGGGACGGGGCTGGCAGGGATGCTGCTTCCTGGGGTCCTGGCCTGCTTCCTGGTGCTCTACAGAGCCCAGCACAGGGATGAGGGCCCAATCACTGAGCACTCCCACATGGCTCGCTGTCCAGCTCTCTGTGAGCCTGGGAAACATCCACAGGTGTCAGTCCTGGTCTTCATTCAGCCACTCTGGAGACCTCAGGAATCTGGGGTCCCGAAGGGAGATGAAGCCACTCCAACCTTATGCACTGGGCCTCTCTGCAGACTCAGAAAACAGCTACGTCCTGAGCTGTGGCGTTCCAGGTCTTCAGAGCAAGACATTACCAAAACGCAATGGCACCAGCTCCAGTACAGGACCCAGCTGCTCAGGTAACCCTGGGCCTGTCTGCACTGCACACACCTAGATGACCCCTTGATTTTGCATCCAGCAAGTGCTGTGGGAAAGGGAAGGGGACTGCCCAGGGAAGCCCAGTCTGAGCCCTGCCCACTGTGGTCTGGGGTGCTAAAGAAAGGGCAGGGCCAGGACCTAGACACCTGCTGACTGCAGGCTGAGTCCCAGGCCACAGGCAGTGAATCATAAAAAAGCCTTTCTGACTGAGGTCATAGTAGCAGAGTGATTCACTGACTCCAAATGCCTTACATGATCACACCCACAGAGCTCTGTTCTTGCAGTTGAGACAAAGTCTCATGTAGCCCAGGCTGGCTTTAAACTAGCTACGTGGTAGAGGATAACCTTGCATTTAGCCCTCAGAGCTGCCTTTGAACATCATGACCAAGAGATGCCCAGTCCCTGCCTCTCAGGACCATCCCTGCCAGGGCCCTCAGCACAGCACGAGATGCTGGGGTAGTATGTCTAACACATCGAGGGTAGCTTCTGAGCATTCAGGGTCATAGGACTCTGACCCATGGATCTGGAGTCTACTCTAGAGGAGTCCAAGGTTCTAGGTAGCCAGTGGTTCAAAGCCCCTTCCCCTCCTCACCCATCTCCTCTCATCTGCACAAGCCATGTGTATAGCTTTGGCCATGAGGGAGGAGGTGAGCAGTGTTCTCTGCCTGGGCGGCCCCTGGCCTTCAGTGTGACCCAGCCAGTCATGGATGCACCTGTTTCAGACTTTCCAAGAGGAGAAAGAATCGGAGCAGGGGAGGTTCCCCCACCTGGGAGGACTGTCAGGGTAGAGTAGCCCACACCAAGCCCCACCCAGCTCCAGGAGGACCTGTCCCCTGGCAGCCCCCGTCCCCCACCACCTCCTTGCCCACAGGAGAGGCCGCCACCTGGGGGAATTTTGGCTTTTCCCAGATGCCCCCACCGCCCCCATCAGACAGAAGGCCCGCTTCAAGATCAGAGACGCCAAGTGCCACCTCCGGCCGCACAGCCGGGAACGAGTGAAGGAGATGCCGAGGCAGCCACTGCTGGGTAAGTGGGCCACCCCCACCTCCTTACCCAGAGGGCCCTGCTGGTCTGGGTTACCAAGCATAAGCTCTTGTCTGTCCACCACCTAGCCCTCTGAGCCATTCATGACACTACAGAGGCTGTAAACAGGAGACATGGGTGCCCAGCATCACCGAAAGCCATCATATCAGCCCTACCCAGGGTTAAACACACACACACACACACACACACACACACACACACACACACACACGCCCCTCAGCAGGGGCCGAGTGAACACACAGCCTCCTTGTGAATACGCATGAGGCACCTCCTCATGTAGCCGGATGTCACTCAGGGATGGACCCAAGACCCACCTCAGCTCTAGTCCCCTGTGAGACCTCCAGGCCAACCCTGGCCTTCTCCAGCCTAAGAGTTCCCATCTGTGCCATGAACTTATAGGCACAGAGGGCGTCTGTGAGGCAGTCCTGAGGCAATCTGTGTGTGGGCTAGGTAAGACCCTACTTCTTGACCCAGACCACCTTTGCCATAGTATTTCCTTCTCTGGCCAGATAACTGCCTCGTGACTTTCGTGACCCTGAAGTGTGACTCCTCCAAGAAGAGGCGCAGAGGCCGCAAGTCCCCATCCAAGGAGGTGTCCCACATCACGGCAGAATTTGAGGTGGAGATGAAGATGGATGAGGCCTCAGGTGGGTGAGGGGGCTTGTGGGCTGCTGAGAATCTGAGAGAGGGGCTGGGGCTCTAGTGGGCATGAAGTTGACTAAGCCAGAAGAAATAGAGGCCTGCTGGTAGGACTGGACACTGCAAGCCAAGCTCTGTAGCCCAGGATGGAGGAGGCAGCCCAGGGTAATGCTTGGAGCACAGCTCAGGGGCAGAGACAAGGCCAGCGGCCCACCTCCACACCTGCACTAGGGCAGGAAGGGCAGGTGCACAGCTCCCCACCACACCCCAGCAGCTGAGCCAGGCACTCTTTCCCAGCCTGCAGGAAGGGTTTATAGTGCTAGATTGTATTTCACACAGTCACATCCTTCTTAGCTGTTGGTGAGTGGCAGGCGGGTTTGTTGGTCAGTTTTGAGACAGGATCTTATATAACTCAGGCTATCCTCAAACTTATATGTAGCTGAGGATGACCTTTGACTCCTGATCTGTCTGCCTCCATCTCTTTTTTTGTCTTTTTGAGACAGGGTCTCCATGTAGCCCCAACTGTCCTGGAACTCACTAAGTAGACCAGGCTGGCCTTGAACTCACAGAGATCCTCCTGCCTCTGCCTCCCGAGTGCTGGGATTAAAGGTGTGCACCACCACACCCGGCTCATCTCTTTTTTTTTTTTTAAGAATTATTCACTTTTATGTGTATGAGTGTTTTGCCTGCATGTATATGTCTGTGTACCACATGTGTGCCTAGTGCCCATGGAAGCCAGAAGAAGGCATCAGATTCCCTGGAACTGTAGTTACAGACAGTTGTGAGCCACCACGTGGGTGCTAGGAACCAGACCTGGGTCTTCTACAAGAGCAGCAAATCCTTTCTTTTTTCAGCTGAATTTTTGTGAATTTCATACAATATATTTTGGTCACATTTAGATCCCCTCCACCATCTGCATCCCCATCCCATCCCACCCCCTATTCAATTCCAGGCACTCTATCATATATATATTATATATATATACATATATATATACAAAATAAAGCATCTATAGTAGTAGGTTTCTGTACAAGTTTTTCTAAAAGCCTTCAATGTGAATCCCCCCCATAGTCCATCTTTTAACCTTCATCTCTTTTCTCATCTCATTTAGCCTGAATTTTGTTTTCTTTCTGGATCACGGTTCTTGCCTTTGTCCTTGAATTTCAAAAACTACTCATCCAAAATATTTCCCAGTGTATAATGTGCTACTTTAATTATTCCTAAAATACTTTTTGTGTTTTTTACCTAGATATCCACTTTTATTTGATGGGACTAGTCCTGTGTGGTGGAGTACCAGTTGCCTTGCCTGCCAAGGGTCGTTCTTGGTGCTCTCCCCGTCTGCGCACGCTACTGCTGGTGTCTCCCTTCCATCTGTGCTAGGATTCTTGTTTCCTTTCTTTGTTTTGTTCTTGTTTTGAATCTTCTGCCTTCGTTAGGAATTTCTCAAGTTCTGTATCTTCATGTTAAGCACTTTAATGTATATCAACTTCTGGAATGCATCTGCAGCATTTCTCAACTCTACAGTCTTCCTCTTCTCTATTCTTTATAATTTCACATGTGGGAAGCTCTAGATACACTGATTAAGCTGAAGCCACACGAAATCCCAGTGCAGATGTGGGGAGGTGGGTAAGAAACCCCAACCCCATCTGAGGAGCTGTCAGCAGCAAGCACTCTTAACCGCTAAGCCATCTCTCTAGCCCCTGCCTCCCCCTTTTGGAATGCTGGGATTACAAGCATGCATCACCACACCTCACTCAGTGGTGGGTAGTGGCGGGTTGATCGCTGTCAGCAGGTGTGTTTGGGGGGGTGTGCCTGACAACAGCCATGGGCTCTGTGGCCACAGCCACAGCCAAGCAACACTTGCAGCCACAGGGAAGCAGAGTGCCGAGTGAAAACTGGGTGATTGGAAGGTGGGAATAAATGGGGCACGGAGCCAAGGCAGGGCTCCGGAAGCCCTCTGAGCCAGAGTTGGAAATCAGAGTTCATCTGGCAGAAGTGATGAGGAGTGGGATTCAAGGAGAGGGAGCAGAGCGTGAAGGCACAGAGGTCAGAGAGAACACTTGCAGCCACAGGGAAGCAGAGTGCCGAGTGAAAACTGGGTGATTGGAAGGTGGGAATAAATGGGGCACGGAGCCAAGGCAGGGCTCCGGAAGCCCTCTGAGCCAGAGTTGGAAATCAGAGTTCATCTGGCAGAAGTGATGAGGAGTGGGATTCAAGGAGAGGGAGCAGAGCGTGAAGGCACAGAGGTCAGAGAGAAGACGGGGCTGGGGAGCAGTGAGGAGGAAGGGCAGCTAGCAAGGGGGTTCACGGAGAGCATCTGAGCACTAGGCCCTGAGGACGCTGAGGCAGGCAGGGGCCAGACCTCAGGGCATCTTTGATACCAGGACAGAGAACTTCTATCAGACTTTACATTACTGTGACAAAATACACCTGACATAAACAGCGTAAGGTAGGGAAGAGTTCCCTTGGCTCCTTTTTCAGAGGGTTTGGGTCACAGAGCTAGGTCTCATTCTGGGTGTATAGTAAGGCTAAACATCATGCTGATGGGAGCATGTGGCAGAGGCAGCTCGCCTCATGACAGACAGGAAGCAGACAGAAGCAGAGAGGGACCCAGGACAGGTGCCTTAAGGCCATGCCCCCATGGCCTACTTCTAGCTCAGCCTCACCACCTAGTTTCTAGAACCTCCCAAAATAGCAACTGCCAGCTGGGATTTCAATGCAGTGTGTGTGTATGTGTGTGTGTGTGTGTGTGTTTTATACATGTTCATGTGCATATACTAGTACGTGTGTGTGATATACATGTTCGTGTGCATGTACTAGTACATGTGTGTATGTGTATATATGTGTCATACATGCATGTCCGTGTGTATATGTACTAGTACATGTGTGCATGCATGTGTGTTATACATACATGTTCGTGTGTCTGCTCATGCATGTGTGTGTGTATGTGCACGTGTGGTATATGTACATGTTTGTATGGGTGTAGGTGTACTGGTATATGTGTGTGTGAGTGTGTATGTGTGTGTATGTATGTGTAGGCCAGAGGTCAACATCCAGTGTTTTCTTCAGTCACTCTCTACCTTTTTTTTTTTTTTTGAGGCAGCCTCATGATGTAGCCCCAGTGAGGCCAAGGTCAACCACCCGGGTTTTTTTTCAGTCCCTTTTTCCTTTTTTTTTTTTTTTGAGGCAGCCTCATGATGTAGCCCCAGCTGGCCTGGAGCTCACTATGTAGACCAGGCTGGCCTCAAAGTCACAGAGATCCACCTGCCTCTGCCTCCCAAGTGCTGGGATTAAAAGTGTGTATTACCTACCAGGCTGCACATTATTTTTGAGACAGGGTCTCTCCCTGCACCTTGAACAGGGATAGGTTGCTGGGCTGATGAGCTCCAGAGACTCGCCTGTCTCTGCCCATCCCAGTGCTGTGCCTGGCTTTCACGTGGGTGCTGGAGGCCTGGGGGATCAAAACTCAGATGGTCATGCTTGCATGGCAAGCACTTTACCAACTGAGCCATCTCTCCAGTCCTGGTGGATGTTTTATGTCTAACCATAACAGAGCTGGACACTACCCTGGGGATAGGGGCAGTCCTGAGGAGTAGCTCAGCTCCACTTAGTAAGTTGTGCTCTGGGGTGATGTGTTCCATGGGCAGAGGCCTGGCTTGGGCTCAGATCTGCCTTGCAGCCTTGGGAAGGCCACACCTCTTGGACCTTCAGCCTTCTCCCCATCAGACAGACATGCCCCCACAGACCTGCGATGAGAAAGAACAGCAGTGGTCTAGGCAGAGGCCTAGTGCAGGGCCCAGCACAGGGGAGCCCTCAGCGAAGAAGGCAGCCACTAGCAGATTGTGAGTTACTCTTGTTGGGTCCCTCGTGCCCCTATAGACACTTGCGAAGTGGACTGCATGCGGAAGCGTGCCGAGCAGAGCTTGCAGGCCGCGGTCAAGACGCTGCGGAAGTCCATCAGCAGACACCTGTTCTACGTTCAGGTCTCGGGCACTGAGTATGAGGTGGCCCAGAGGCCAGCCAAGGCCCTGGAAGGGCCAGAGACATGTGGCACAGGCCAAGTACTACAGGACAGCAAATGTGGTGAGTCCCCCAAATACTAATTATGCAATCTGTCCCTATCCTTCCTCACACATGCAGACTAGGCAAACCTCAGCACACCAGGAAGGGGACATGAGGCGGGGACAGAAGGACCTGCCTGCCAGGGAGGACAGCATAGCCCTTGCCATCATCACCGTTATTTAGAGCGTCTCTTCTGGTGCTGGGCTGGGCATGTGACCCTCACCATAGCCCTGAGAAGAAGGGACAGGGATAGGACAGCACAGAAAAGCCTCAGAAGCAGGGCTCAAGGAGCCCCAGGGACCAAACTGGACTCTCTCCAGGCTGCAGTGCAGTTCAAGGCTTCCTAGAGGGGAGGAGGTATGTGAGGTGACACCTCAGGCTGGGGAACTGGAAGGCTGAGAAGGGTGGAGAGGGGCAGAGCACAGCACCTGCCAGGCCAAAGGCTGCCCTGGAAGTAGAGGAGGCTGGAAGCCGGACACCCACCCGGGCCCAGGCAGCCTCACTCAGGAATGACCTGTGAGAAGAAGCAGATTCAGGGACAGCATGGGGGCCTGGGCAGTGGCCCTTCAAGCTGTCATAGTCCCCATGTGGAGGATGGATAGTGAGCAGTGAGCACATGCACAGGCAAGATGAGACCAAAGGAGTGGGTCCATGCAGCCACGGGTGTAACTAAGACCCATGGCAGCCACTGCAGTACTCTAGGTAAGGGACCAGCATCATGCGCTGTCTCCCCAAGACTGAGTGCGGGGAAGTGGGCTACGGAAGAAAGGCTCAGCATGAGACGGTGAAGCCTGGAAGCAGGTGCTGACATGAACAGTGGGTGCCCCCTAGGCTGGTGCTGACACGGGTCAGAGTAGGAAGCATGGGGGGTGCGTATACACATACTTTGTCCTGTTTCTATGAGTATATACATGGACTCATGTATATGTGTATATATATATATATGTGTGTGTGTGAGAGAGAGAGAGAGAGAGAGAGAGAGAGAGAGAGAGAGAAAGGAGAGAGCACTTCATTCCATACCCATACCTCCAACTCAGCACTCAAGGTTCTCCCTCACCCTCCCCTTCGTGCATCTTCCCACAGCTCCAGCAGTGAGGACCAAGGCTCCCTTCTCCTTAGACTGCTTTGTTCCTCATCCATTTCCTCAATATCACGATAGCCCATCACCCTGGCTCTCTGCCATCCTCTGCCTCTGTTTCACACCCCAACAACCTTGGCTTACCATCAGACCCTCTCACCCATGCTTTCTGGTCCCCAAGTTCCACACTGTGCTGTGTCCAAACAGGCAGGAAATGGATGGGGAAGGGGGCGTGGTTTGGGATGGAGTGGCACAGGATGTCCAGGTAGAAATAGCCAATCCAGGGAGCATTCGGTAAAAGATCAAAAAGTCAGGCTAAGGATAGGATGTGGGGCAGGGAGAGAAGTCCACGTGGAGCCAAGACCCCAGCTGTGGTAAAGGGGTCTGTAGACCACTCTGAAGAACAGTAGATCCGCCCCTCAGATCCTTACAGAGGCTGCCACCTGACTGCTGCTCCCGGCTCTCCTGCGTGGGCACTAAGTGCTGTGTCCTATCTACACACAGGGCATGCCCCTGACCCAATGCCCACTGTCACTGCAGCAGTCTCTCCACTCCACCTCTACAGTGCCCTGTGCGCCTGGCACCTACTTCAGCAACGAGCCAGGCCAGTGTGTGCCGTGCACATCAGGAACCTACCAGGACATGGAGGGCCAGCTCAGCTGCACGCCGTGCCCCAGCAGTGAAGGGCTGGGTCTGGCTGGTGCCCGCAACGTATCTGAATGTGGAGGCGAGTATGGCCCACGTGGAAGGGGAGAGGCCAGGGTGGGGAGCAGATTTTGGGCAGGGACCTGACCCTCATGAGACTTCCAGAGCAAAAGCAGAGGCCCTGTATAGTCAGAAAATAACACCTCTGTCTGAAGCTCTACTTTTTCCAAAGCCATGCAGTTTCCAACGGTCACCACTCACAGGATGCCACGCCTCCCACAGCATCAGCACCCTTTGGCATGCACCACAGTTACTGAACACCTCTTGCGGTCATCCAACATGCACACACAGTCCCTGGCAAAGCAAGCTGTGGTTTGTAACAAGGCACATGAGTGGTTTTTTGGTTTTTTTGTGTTTTTTGTTGTTGTTGTTTTGTTTTGTTTTTTGAGACAGGGTCTCCCTGTAACTCCAGCTAGCCTGGACCTCAATATGTATACCAGGTTAGCCTCGATCTCACAGACAGCCACCTGCCTCTGACTCCTGAGTGCTGAAACTAAAGGTGCCCTGCTAATTTTTATTTTGAGACAGGGTTTCAATTAAGCCACTCAGATGGGCCTTGGTTTTGTTTTGTATAAGTGCTTTTAAAAATTGTTTATTTATATTTTATGTGTATGAGTGTTTTGCCTGCATGTATGTAAGTGTACCACATGTGTGCAATGCCCACAGAGGCCAGAAAAAGATAACAGAGTCCCCTAGAACTGGAGCTACGGACGGCTGTTAGCTGCCATGTGGGTGCTGAGAATTGCTGAGCCATGTCTCCAAGCCCCAAACACAAGTGCTTAAGAGATAGTTCGTTATCGTTGAAATGCTTCACAGGGGACAAGACTGACTCCAGCAGGAATTTTGCTACACAAAGAACCTTTACAGTTTGTCGTGTAGGTGGTTAAGAAAGCCCGTTTTTAACTTACTTGGGGCAGTTGTATTTGCAAAACCCTGCCATTTAATGCCCACTTGGCCCCATCTACAACACGGCTATGTCCCTCAGCAGCCTCTCCTTCGGAACCATGCATGCCTTACTCTAGAGAATGCACCTTAAGGGCTCAGCACTGGGGAGGCATGGTGTCTGGAAGGATGGGCGAATGGGCACCGAGAATGGAGGAATGAAGACCTCCAGCCTTCTCCTAGACACAGAAGAGCCCAGGACCCAGCTGAGCCCCTGTGTCTGCCGGCTGCTTCCCAACCCACTGGCCCCCAGCCTGGCCCCCAACCCCACTGGCCCCCAGCTGTGATCTCCAGGGAATGGCAGCTGTTAAAGCCCAGGGTGGTACAGGAGGGCAAGTCTCCACTGGAATGGAATCTGAGAGTCTCAGGACCTGGGCAGAAAGGACACTAAACCCACTCAGTTCCAGAACACCTCACCCTGCCTTTCAACAGGAAGGCTGAGCTGAAGAGGGCTTCCCTGTGCCCCCGTCTTATCCGCGGCAGACCCATGGGTCCTCAAAGACCTTCCAACCCTCCTCCCCCTATTCTGGCCTGGCCCTGCTAACAGACAAGACAATAACTGGTTCCTCCTATGGATACCTGTGACCTGCCCCTGGGAAGCTGGGGTCCTGAAACACCCCCTCTCCCCTCCACACCCATGGGCCCCAACTCAGCAGTGAGGCCCTTTCTCCTTAGATTCAGCCCATGCTGCTGTGGGAGATGGGAAGCCAAGCTGGCAAAACCACACAGTGAACGGCTGGCAGCCTCCAGACCCAGGGCCTGGCCTTCCCCACCTGGGCTGTCCCATTTGCTCTTCCCACTCCACCCCGGGTGCTTTGGCAGGGAGGGCCAGGGCCAGGAGCAGGGCCAGCCTCCCAGGTCCGAGCAGCCACAGCATCCTCACCCACCTGAGCCTTGGCCTCTGACTTCTAGGCCAGTGCTCTCCCGGCTTCTTCTCAGCTGATGGTTTCAAGCCTTGCCAGGCCTGCCCCGTGGGCACCTACCAGCCTGAGCCTGGACGCACTGGCTGCTTTCCCTGTGGAGGGGAACTGCTCACCAAGCACCCGGGTACCACCTCTTTCCAGGACTGTGAGACCAAAGGTGAGGGGGTCAGCAGCTCAGGGACTCATTCTTCAACATCACTTTCTCCTCCACAAGGCCAACCCCAAAGTCAGAGGAGGAGTCTAGAGACTCCAGACAGTGGACCTGAGTGACCAGCACTGTGTCACACACCAGGACAGGAACAGCAGCTAGTCTCAAGCTTACTGAGCATCAGGAGGGCCAAAGAGAGGATGGTAGCACCTCAAGGCAGTAGGGTGACTGCTGGAGGGGTGATGAGACTAAAGAGAGAGGAGGGTGATGGGAGGGGAGAGGAGGAGGATGGGAGAGAGGGAAGGGAGGATATGGGCAGAGCAGTAGCAGAGGGGCCCCACCAGGGCAGAAACCTCAGCCTCAGCCACTTCCAGTCCTTCCCACCTCACTCTCTGACCGCCCCCCATCACCCTTGGCTGCCCTGCTGCCCTCCTCTGTTACCCTGTGCTGCCAGCCAAGGCCAAGTGACAGACCCTCAGTGCCACAGAGCCTGCCACAGGCAGACTGTCTAACACACAGGCTGCTCTGTGCTCTTTCCCCTTCCAGTTCCAGGAACAGAGTTCTGCAACCCTTCCCCCATCTCCACTACCCATCCATCTTGTAAAGGAGTATGTGGTCTAGCTTTCTCCACTTCCCCTCCTTTCCTGCCCTGACCTCCTCCAGTCACACTGTCACCCCACTGTACTGCTCAAGAAATTTGATCCTTACATGGTCAGTGCATGGCTGGAACCCTATATGTCCTCAGTCTGCACGTGGCGTGGATACCTCTAGGGCCCTCCCTCACCTCCAGCAGGCCGCTGTCATCCCATCCGGCTTGGGCACCCACTCACCCCATGATGGTGGGACATACGTCATTGAGGTTGCTAAATGAGAAGGGTCCTGAGGGCAGGGCTGCTCCCCTGGCCTGCTCCTACTCACCAGCAATGTCCCCTGCAGTGCACTGCTCTCCCGGCCACCACTACAACACCACCACCCACCGGTGCATCCGCTGTCCCGTGGGCACCTACCAGCCCGAGTTTGGCCAGAACCATTGTATCACCTGCCCAGGGAACACCAGTACTGACTTTGATGGGTCCACCAACGTCACGCACTGCAAAAGTAGGTGCCACTCTTAGTCTGGGAAGCTGGGAATTCTGGGCAGTGGAGAGAGAGTGGGTAAGACCTGACCTCATACTCTGAGAGGAGAGATCACTGACCTCTAGCAAGGCAGGGCGGCCCAGGCCCAATCCGCTCTATAAAACATGTGCTTGCACCAAAGTTTGTAATTCCCAGTGCTCATTTTATACAATCTGAGCTGCAGCCCAGGCCCTCTCTAGTTTCTGGGTCTCCAGAGAAAGAAGGCAGACCCTGTGCATGGAAGTTGACAGGTTGTTGGGGGGCTGCCACCTGCCGGTCCTTCAGCTCTGCATGGTGAGCACCACCTAGGCCACCAAGCAGGTACTATGCCCTCTCAACTGTAAGCGGTGCCTGGCACAACTCTGGGGCTGAGGAGTAAATGGCAAGAGATGTCAAATAGAGCTTCACTTGGCCTTTTATACCCACGACGTGGGTGGGACCTGAGGCTAGCTGGGGAGCAGATACTGCGCAGAGCACCGAGCATAACAAGGCTGAGACAGAGACACACCGGGGTCTGTGAGGCAGCCCCATCAGAAGGGACAGCCCAGGCCAGGCTTCAGGGAACCCACTGGTGTCATCCAGGGACTTGCTAGGTGGCTGAGCAGCAACCCAGGCAGGGTCTGGGTGGGTCAGCACAGGGCCCAGCTGTCTGGCACAGGAACACCTGCCAGACCTGCCCTGTACCTTTAATGCCACTGAGGGCCAGGACACCCATGCAACCAAGCATGACCAGGCCTCTGCCGTGGTGCCCACAGACCAGCACTGCGGCGGCGAGCTCGGTGACTACACAGGTTACATTGAGTCCCCCAACTACCCTGGAGACTACCCGGCCAATGCGGAGTGCGTGTGGCACATCGCACCTCCACCGAAGCGCAGGATCCTCATCGTGGTCCCTGAGATTTTCCTGCCCATTGAGGACGAGTGTGGTGATGTCCTGGTCATGAGGAAGAGCGGTATGTGTTGGGCTTGGGCCTGGGACAACAGGATGGGGCACAACCTTGACCGCATGCCACACCCTTCCCCAGCCTGGTTCAGCTCCACCAGGCAGCACGAAGGACTCTGAGGCTCAGGAAGCAGCTGGCTCTGAGGAGCCTGTGACGCAGTATAGAAACCCACCTGAGCCAGGCCGTAAGAACTGGGCTCTATGGAGCTCTGGGGGAAAAAGGTCCAGGAGGCCCAAGGCTGCCCTGAGGTAGAATCTGAACCCAGTCAGTTCTGGTCCCAGCCAGTCTCTCCTCCAATTGTCCAGGCAGCTGTGGTGCCCCTCCCCCACCTCCCCCACTTCATGTCACCACACACACACACACACACACACACACACACACACACACACACACACACACCCGTGAGATCCTGGTAGCACCCTCCTCTTCCATTGGCCTCCACCCTCCAAGGCTTGGGAGAGGGGGAACAAAGTGCCACCCAGGCACACACAAGACACCTAGGCTAGCCCTTCCTGGAGCTCCAGACTCCTGAGTATGTGTCCCTGTCAAGTGAGGGAAGGATGGAGAGGCATGGACAGAGGGCCAGCCCTTAGCAGGGCGGGGGCAAGTGTGTGGCCCAACAACCACCGTAGTGAGAAATCCCAGGAAGGGGCTGAGAGCCCTGCAGAGACTTGGTTGTATCCTCAGCATCCTAGAGACAGCATCCTAGAGACGTCACTGCCATTGGTTGGCGCCCACAGGAGTGAACTCCAAGGCAGGATGTGAAAGGAGAAAGCCAGGGACCCAGACAGACCCAAAAACACAACACTGGTCTGAGGCTAGACCATCTGTGGCTAGAGAGACAAGTGGAGTGGAGAGAGATGACTCTGTCTTGTGTCTTGTGTGACTGACTATTGCCGTGTGCATAACACCTGCTCCATGGCTGGTGGGCCAGGAAGCCCCAGTGGGCAAATGGAAGATTGTGACTAGAAAAGAGCAAGGGGCCTGCTCGGCATCCCTGAGCTAGTTGGAGCTCAGTCTGAGACTCCCTCCTCCCCCACTCATCCCCAGCCCTGGCCCACTCAAGATGCGTGCCATGGAGGGGCTATCGACCAGAGGGAAACAGGGAGGCTGTAAGGAAGGTCTCTCAAGAGCAGCAGGGATAGGGCCGGACTAGGGGAGCAGCAGGGGGCTTTCTGGATAAAGGGCTGTGGAAACAAGCCTCGAGGGAGAGGAGAGCGGAGTTGGGGCTAAGGGCAGGTCAGGCAGAGGAGCGACCGTGAAGGCAGAAGAGCTGGGTGTTTGGGGCCGGGATTGAAGATGCTGGTGGCTGGCAGAGTCGGGGAGGTGAGTGGCCTGGGGCAGTGAGGAACTGTGGACTAGGGTGGCTCTGCAATGGCCTGTGTCCCTGCAGCCTCACCCACGTCTGTCACCACCTATGAGACATGCCAGACCTACGAGAGGCCCATTGCCTTTACCTCCCGTTCCCGCAAGCTCTGGATCCAGTTTAAATCCAATGAAGGCAACAGCGGCAAAGGGTTCCAAGTGCCCTACGTCACCTATGATGGTAAGGCGCGACCATCTCATCACAGTCCAGTCAAAACCAGGCCGGGGACTCCAAAATAACTCACATATCCCCTCTAACAGGGCACAAACTCAGCGACAGAACTAAGGGCCAGGAAATGTGGCAACCTGAGGGGTACGAGGTAGAGGTGAGAGAGGGAACCGCAGGCGCTGCCTGCCGGCCTCATGTAAGGTCCTGCCCTACAGGGTTTGCACCGTTAAGTAGGGGCAGCTAAGCCACCAGGAGGACACAACAGCTGAAGGGGACCCCAGCAGCGAAGGCCAAGAGACAGAGCTACATCCAGCCACTGCCAGGGCCGGGGTGCTGGGGAGGGTAGGGGTGGGAGGTGTGAGGCGTCAAGTCCCTCGCTTTCCCTCTCCCTGCTGGCCGGCTCACCAGAGGATTACCAGCAGCTGATAGAAGACATCGTGCGCGATGGGCGCCTGTACGCCTCAGAGAACCACCAGGAGATTTTGAAAGTGAGTTTGTTGCAAAGGAATCCCTGTGACTCTGGGAGAATAGTCTGGATTGTTTCCAAGCTTGCCCTGACTACTGAACCCGGAAAATAAGGGAGGGAGAGGGTATGATGGAAGAGGAGGAGGATAGACTGGGCCAAGGACCTTGACATAAGGACTGAATCTGGCCTATCTGCCCCCAGTCCCAGCCCAGAAGGCCTAAGACAAGCTGGCAAACTGTCACACAGCAGGTGCAGAGGCCTGGGGACCTGACTCTCACTAAATAGAGTCAGACCTGAGGATCAGCTTTGGGCTGGAGGTGGGCTCAGGATCAGTCTCTGGATGGCAGTGCCCACAGCCTGGGGAACCAAGAGCAGGGACAGGGCCACATCACCCTTGTCCTGGTTACCATGTCTGAGCAAAGGATCACCCCCCAACCCCCATGTCAGAGCAGATGGCAGATTCTTCCAGTTCACCAGATGGCGCTGGAGTACAATGGCAGTTTGACAGGCATGAGGTTTACCCTTTTCTCTCAAGTTCCTGGTTTCCCCCTAGAGCTGCTATTTGGTTTAAGCAGAAACCAGATCCCCTTTCTGCCTGCTCTACTATGAGAATCTACCACCCCGCCCTACCCCATGCCCCACCTCCCACAGCCTCCCATGTCTTACAGGACAAGAAGCTGATCAAGGCCCTCTTTGACGTGTTGGCACACCCACAGAATTACTTCAAGTACACAGCCCAGGAATCCAAGGAGATGTTCCCTAGGTCCTTCATCAAACTGCTACGCTCCAAAGTGTCCCGATTCCTGAGACCCTATAAATAACCCTCCAGCTGTCCTGCTTGGGGATGGTGGGAACCGAGAGGGAGGGGCGCGTGCCTTCCCTCCACGGCAGGAGATGAAAGGAGGCCCCATGGGTTTCCATGCTGCCTTGGGAAACCCACAACATGTGCCCTCCAGCAAAGCCATCCAGCCTGCACCACCCGAGGAGGACCAAGAGTACTCCCTCTGCCACTTGGGCAGGGAGACACTGCTTTAGAAAGCCTTTGCCTGCCCTTTGCTGCTGTCTCCAAGGATACCAAGAGTACTCCCTCCTGAGACACCCCAGTGGGCTTCCATGGGCCAGGACACACTGCCCCCACCACATAGGAGCAAGGATTATATATGCCCTTGACCTGACGTGTCAGGAGACAGGAGTGTGGCCAACATCCCCTGCAGGCTCTGGGAAGCTTGGGCCATTGTTACCCACACAGGAAACCAGGCCAGGGAAGGAGGGTACGTGGAGGAGCCATTTGGGGGGAGCTGATAAGCCTGGGCCAGTGTCTGTGGAGATGCCACACCCTGCCAATTCCTCCAGCCATAGGCACAGGACTACACCCAGCCATGGGGCTCTGAGGACTCTGTGAGAGACAAAACAGAGCTTCGAAGGGAGGAATCCACAGGCTTGTGCTTTGCCTTCGTAGAACATCTAATGAAGTTTTATATATATATATAAATATTAAATATATATACTTCTATGTGTGGGCAGGTACATTAGGAAGGTTCTCTTCAGCAACTGTAAATATTATCCGCTGTTACCAGTCTCCCCGCTGTGATTAAACTGCTCCTCCTGAGCCTGCCTGCCTCTGTGTGGGGGAGGCCAAGTGCCCATGAGCCTGGGGAGAACGCAGGACATGCTTGGACATGCTGTTGAGTGTGACTTCTTAGAGACTGAGCTCAGGTGCTATGTTGGAGCATTGGCCCAGTCCCCTCACAAGCACCATGACAAGCAGCTTCCCCTGAGACCCCATCCTTGGGGTACTGACACTCAGCTAGGCCTGCATGCTACCAGAAAACAAGGCCTTCCTCAGAAGAGTGTAGGCTGTGCTCAGAGAGGGGGCCCACACTTACCAATGCACGAGGGAGGAAAAGCAAGACCCAAGGAGAGGAGGCCCCAAGGCAGGGGCTGTCAGGAGCCTCTCTCCTGCTTCTCAGGGCCACTGTCACCCATACAGGAAGCCAGGTCACAGAAAGAAAGTACATGGAGGAGCCATGATGGGGGGGGTTGCTAAGCCTGTGCCAGTGTCTGTGGCAATGCCACACCCTGCCAACCCCTAGCCATGGGCACTGGATACTGGGCACTGCCTCTCTTAAAGAGAGAAACCCCTGTGTGGCCAAGCTGCATGGCACCCCCCAGCTGGGGGGCCATTCCCTTGGACAGAGGACTCACCTGCGCCTCAGACTGTCAGTCTTAGAGCACACATAGAAAAATGGTCTATATTTTTCAGATTACGGATATTAGAACTTCTGAGGAACATGGGGGAATCTTAAAAATGAACACCGAGGTTTCCAGGTCCCCACACCTGCCTAGTGAACTGTTTGAGAAAACACCCATGGCACGTTGAAGACTGTGATGTGTGAGGCAGGTGAGCCAGGCCTGGAGAACCAGTTTGGCGACAGGGCACAGTGCATCCTGCAGTCCAGAAACAGGCTTGAAACTCAAGGACAAGCCACTGCCATCACACGGGTCCACAAAGCACAAGGAATCCCCAGCAGCCAGCAGCCTCTTTTGGAGGGTGTCAGACGGAGTTTCAACACTTGGGGAATAAGCCCTGCCAGGGGCTTATTGCCTTTCTACAGACCAGCCAGTTTCCAGAAAGAGATTCCTTTCTCCTTCCGTTGGACCATTGATCATCGCCAGAAAGAAAGATCAGCATCCTCCAGAACAAACCCAGCAACAGCCACCCTGAGGAGACATTAGTTCTCCAGGTAAATGAAGCCCACTGGATGCATATGGCGACATATCAGAAGGAATTATGGGACTTGGCTCCCAGAATTATGGTGTCCCAGAAGTTCTGCAAGGTGCCATCTGCAAACCAGAGGATCTAGGTACTGGCATAACCCAAAGTCAGAAGGCCTCAACTGAGTTGGTTAGAAGTCAGAGGTCCCACCAACTGCCTGACCTTCATCCCAGCACTGCAGGATGCCAAACCTTATGGATGAAGACAGGGCTTTTCTCAGGCTCCTAGTTCATATGCTAATCTCTTCCAGAACTGCTCCACCCTCAGACACATCCTGCAAGAAGGCAATAACCCAAAGTCAGAAGGCCTCAACTGAGTGGTTAGAAGTCAGAGGTCCCACCCAATGCCCGACCTTCATCCCAGCACTGCAGGATGCCAAACCTTATGGATGAAGACAGGGCTTTTCTCAGGCTCCTAGTTCATATGCTAATCTCTTCCAGAACTGCTCCACCCTCAGACACATCCTGCAAGAAGTACTTGGAGGCTCAGTCCTGCCGTCAGGTTGACAAATCAAAGGAACCATTCCACTCAGTAAGCTCTTCGGGGCTTTTGGTTTTTGTCATTGTTGTTTAATTTTTTTGTCTTTTTGAGACAGGGTCTCCCTGCAGCCCTAGCTGGTCTGGAATGTACTATGTAGACCAGGCTGGCCTTGATCTCTCAGAGATCCACCTGCCTCTGCCTCCTGAATGCTGGGATGAAAGGCGTGTGCCACCATGCTTGGCCTGGGTTTTTGTTTTTAATTTTTCAAAACCCAGAAAACACCAGACAGAGCTCTTAAGCATTCCTAAATTCTGCCTGTAACTCCTCTGAGTAGCTTCTAGCAAGTACCACCCATGTGCCCACTAATCTACCCACCTATCTTCTCTCTACAATGCTCACCCCACTGTGGCCACATCATGACCAATATCCCCAGGGCCAAGCAGGACAGAGGCAGTACAGGCCCCTCATGCTCACTATCACGCCCTTCTGTGTCTCTCATCCCAAAAAGCCAACCCTTACAGCCACCATTCAGCCAAAGCTTGAGCCCACTCCTGACAGAGCTTCCAACCCAGGTAACCAGAAGACCTCTGTGAAGGTGAGAGAGGAAAACCAACGTGTCTCTTTGGGCTCCAGGGGACAGTCATCGTGTAGGATTGTAAGAGAAGACCGCCCTGCAGGGCACCTAGCCTTCCTGACCTGCATTCCTGGCACCTCCTGGCACTCAGCTGGGCAGCACTTGGCTGAGGAAGAAGAACATCTGCCCTGAGGGTCAGTGGCTGGCCCATCCCTCCGTCAGTAGACAGTGGCAGCAGGAATGGGGCTTTTAAATGTCCCAGTTACTTTTGTCCCTGACTAGAGCCTTGTGGCTATGGCTATGTCAATTCTCTCTTCATCCTTTCTCCCACCTCTCAAGCAGCACAATCAGTGGGAACATATGGCTCCCACCCCAAAACTGGTGGTAACTACTATTCCAAACTCTGGCTCCTCCAAGACAGAGTTTCCCTCACAGACACTCGAGTGCAGGGCCCAAGCTGGAGGCCTTGGCCAACTTCCCCTCCTGCTGTCCTTTAGTCTGGGACACACAGTTGAAGTAGAACTGAAACATAGGTCAAAAAGTGCTTGTTTGAAATCCTTAAGAGGGAGCCTATTCACCCAGCTCTGACAAACGTGGCTTCCAGCTGGAGCTCTTGGGTGCCTCTCAGAGGCACAGCACTCCCATGAGGCATCTTCAGCAGGAGACCCCAGCTGGCCTATATAGGCTGTAGCAGATCCTAAATGTTAGGAGCTGAATAGTCTTCCATAGCCTCCACTCACCCCACCCCTCAGCAGAAAAATAGATACAATTAGGCCATTCAGCAAGCATTTATTGCGCACCTACTATGCACCAGGCTCCTGAAAAGACTGACTGGGGAACAACATGGACTCAGGCAGCAACCTGCCCAGAACAGCAGCCTTGCCCCACACTCATCTGTTCATCTGGCTCTGTGCCCTACAGAGCCAGTGCCTTCTCCCTGCCCTGGGGCTCTGACTGGCTTCCCTCTCCACCACAGGCTTGGAAAGAACAGCCCTGGCAAGATGCATGCTTAGCTTTGCTTTCCCAAAGATGCACAGTGACAGCTCAGCCCTTCTGTCCTCAGCAGTACCCGGCTGACGCCATTCGAGCTGAGGCTGAAGGACTTGGGAGTGAAGAAAGTGTTCACCAAACACACGGAAACAGAGCAAACTGTTCCTCTCCCGGGCAGACTTGTACCCCCCAAAGATCGCTGGCCCCTCCAGAAGTGAGTCTAAACAGGACTGAGCTGGGCTTCACCCTACCCAGCCTGTCAAACCCTTTGCCAGCACACCAGGAGGGGGATTCCTCGGGGCCCAGGTGGCATGGGTATGGCCCATGCTCTCTCCCAGTGCCCTGCTCAGACAGCTACCCACTCCCTTCCCAGTCTGTGCCCTACCACACCCGCATAAAGGCTCCTCCCCCAGAACGTTTGAAACTGTGTGCACTCCCCAAGTCTCAACAGGAAGAAACAAAGCCAGGGGATTAGCATCCTTCAGTGCTCCTGTATGCCAAGCACTAAGAACTCTCTCCATCATGAGAGGCGTGTGGGGCTCAACCCATTGTTCATACGTGGACATTTGACTCTGGGAGACCCAAATGATGTGTATAAGATGAAGAGTTAGAAGTTTGTGGGACTGGAAATCAGATCCAAGCACAGAGGAGGCGTCTCTGTAAATGCTGATTAATCCGAAGTTGACAGGTTGGAATCCCGGCTGGGCCAGCCCGGCAGTGGAGAGAGCCAGACTTGAAGAGTGGACAGGAGAGCCAGGGGTATGAGGTGGTGTTCACCCTGACGATGTCCTTCCCTTCTTAACACGCAAAGAAAGGACGAACTTGGTTTCTCTTGAGGAGGGGTCAGGTCCTCACCATCTAGCCTTGACCTGTGATGGCCTGTGCAGACCCAGAGGCCCTCAGCCCCACTACATCAGCAGGAAACCTGGTGCCTGTCAGCACACATGGGGAGGGGAGGAAGCAGACTGGCTTTCCAGCCTCTAGAAGTCAAGTAGATCTGTCAGTAAAGTCTGTGTTTTGTCGAGGTCAGAGCCATGCACAGCCAGTGGAGCCATCTACCCTGCTCTACCGGGCACTGCTGTGCCCAGCCTTCTCTCTGGTCTCCAAGAAGGAATACTCCAGATGCTGTGCAACATTCCTGCAGCGTGGTGGGTGACCGCGTTTGCCCATTAGCTGCCTCAGAGAGTCAAAGCTTTGCTTTCTCCATCTTGCTTTCCCATATGCATGTAATCAAACACTTGTGGAAATCATTTTCATAATAAACAGGGAAGGGACCTAAGTGTCGCTCTTTTCTCGTATTTATTAGAGATCATGGTTAAGGCTGAGGCCACTGGAATCAGGAAAAAAAAAAAACGGAATTACAGTACTATTGAGCTGAACTAGGTATGGAGCTGAAGAAGGCCTTAAACCTCTCTGCTCCTTCTGCCTTGTATGTGTTGTGGAGTGCAGGTACCTGAGAGGCCTAGAAGAAGGGATCTAGTCTCCTGGAGCTGGAGTTACAGGCAGTTGTGAACTGCCTGACATGTGTCCTGGGAACCAAACTCAGGCCTTCAGGTCCTCCACAAGAGCAATATGCCCTCTTAACCACCGAGTCACCTCTCCAAACTGAAAGATTTTTTTTAATTATTCTTTGAAAGTGTCATACCTGTATACAATGTATCTTGATCATATCCACACCCTCCCTCATTTCATTCGCCCAGCCCCCAGCACATCTCCAGCCCATCTTCAAGACCAACCTACCGACAGCCACACCCAAAGATATGTGGCCCTCCCTCCTCCAGCATCCATCAACTGCCAATAGCTCCCCAGCATTTGGTTCTCCTCCCCCATCCATGCTGGGTGTTTTAACCGGCTTGATCGTGCACAGGTAACCACAACGGCCATGAACTGTTATGCAGCACCACACCCTGTCTAGAAGACAGCATCTCACAGCACTCCTCATCATCATCTTCCCGCTTTCCACCCTCTCTCCTGCAATGTTCGTGAGCCTTGGTGGAGGTAAAGGTTGACAGAGCTCCAACGGTCATTTGTTCTCTGCACTTTGATCAGTTATGAATTTCTGCATTAACCAATGCCCCCTATAAGAAAGAAATTTCTCTCCCCAAGGTTGAGAGCAACACAAATCTATGAGTATAAACATTAATATTTACCAGTGTATTAAGAGGCAGTGAACAAGGCTAAAGAGCACTGACTGCTCTAACAGAGAACCCAGCACCCACATGGTGGCTAACAACCATCCATAACTCTAGTTCCAGGGGACCTGATGCCCTCTTCTGACCTCCGAAGGCATTGCACAACATGGGAGCACTTACATACATGCAGGCAATACACTCATGCACATAAAATAAAAATAATAAATTTCTAAGTGAAAAAAATAGAGGTAATTAACACAAATAGCATTCATGACATAATGGAACAAATTAAGAACCATGGTCCACATATTGTTAAAGACAAGCTTTCTGTCTGTTGTAGATCTTAGGCAGACTTAATTGTTGCTTGGTGTTCTAAAAAGAATCTCACGTATTTTATTCTTGGTCTTGTTGTAGGACAGAGTTCATAAAAAATCACCAGCACCACTTTAAGAAAAGCAGCAAGGTGAATTTTAATTTTCGACCGGCCAGGCTGTCTATCTCGGGAGAAGTAGCCCTGGTGATTGTCGGGTCAGAATTTTTATAGGATTACGGAATTATTATTAAAACAGGACATTTGTGAACCAATCAGGTTTGTACAACATAGCAGAATTTTGATTCTATTAATTAACAACCAATCATTATACAGACAAGAAATACAGTCATATAACTTGGCACTCAACTTTGTGACATTAAAACTAGCCAACAGCTTTAGCCATAACAAGTAAAATAAGACAGTCAAGGTAAATGACTTCTAGGTGGTCATACAATAACAAGATAACAAGGGTGGTCTTATGCCCTGTGTCAGGGTGACCCAAGACAGCAAGCAGGTTAAAGAAGTGAAAACAAACTGGTTAGTAAAAATGTATAATGTCTGGAATTATCACATTCCATGATTCATGGCAAGGGCAATTTTCCAAGGCCCAAGGTTGCCCCCCTTTTCCTTT